TAGACAATAATGGATTAGGGGTGGTGCAGTGGTTAGTATTGCTGCCTTGCTGCAATGGGGCCGTGGGTTCAATTCTGCACCTGGGGGTCTATCTGCATACAGTTTGGATGTTCTCCCCATGTTTGTGTAAGTTTCCTCCCCCAGTCCAAATACATACTGGTATTGCCAAAAACACACTGGAAAATTGTCCAATATGAGAATGTGTGTGTCTGTGAGTGCCTTTGGATGGACTGGTATCCTCTCCAGGTTAAACCCTGCCTTGTGTCTGTTGAATTGGGTTGATGGAGGGATACTATTGGGTTATGTAGTCTTTACTTTAGTAGAGTGCAGAGATATTTACTTGCTCTTATTATGTAAATTTCTCATTTTCTTCTATTGTGAAGTCTTTATCCTAAAGTCTTTTCATTCACAAAAGGAAATGTACGTTATCCTTTTTGTAGTGAATGCATTTTATTTTAGTTGAAATGCCAAGTGAAAGAGAAGACTACTGCATAATAAATCCAGAATTTTCTCTGTATGTATATATTTGCTGTAGAAAACAAACACGGTGGGTTTGAATACTCTGTCCTTTCATTGTCATTGATACTATTGTTGTTCACCCAATTGAAGGGTCCTGTGTTTTTGGGAACCATTCTATTAAAAAGTAAGGCTCTAGTCCTCTATAACATTGGGTGTCATAGAATAGTTAATTTTTGCCTTATTAAAAGCTATTGCATGTCTGTTATAGCAGCACCTGGTGGCTTTCTCTGTCAAAAAGTGTTGCACTTGGTACAGAACTGAAGCATAATTGCAAAGGAGTACCCCGACATTTAAATGTATATGGGAGCACTCCACAATTACCTTGGACTGAGACTGGTGTTGGACCATTTTTCACTGGGAGGGATTCATCAAGACTCCAACACCTTTAATGCTACATGCTGTTCTGAATTTTAGTGCTGGGTGGACCTATTCTAAAAGAATAGGTTCATTACAGGATGGCATCTTTGCAGGGTGTTTAGTAGGCATAGCTGCAGTAGGAGATACTTATCAGCTGCACTTGTTGTGCCTATGCAAACACCTAGAGTATGCAACTCTCTCCCTCTCTTCCCAGCAATAACCTACATGAGGCCACACTCTCTTGTTTAAAGCACCACGTCTCTTCCTGTTAAAAAGAGGAGAAACTTTACACTTTAACTCTTCAGTTCACAGAGAAATTTCACCAGAGCCTCTTGTAGTATGCTTTCACGAGGCACCAGTTCTGTAGGGTATGGGCATTTATGGGGACAATTATTAATTGTAGCCGTAAATCACAAAATTATTCTTTTAATGGTTTTAGAATCCAACCATGCGGTATAACTCAAACAACGCACACACACAGGTACTAATACACAAGAATAAATTTATTAATACATAGAATATGCATGTAAACCTAACAGATCTTATCGTGAGGGTTATCAGAATACAAAAGGTATATATTCATTCAGTCACGAAGAGTTACATATATCAAGAGGCCATACATTGGTATATCATTCATTTAGACCGTTTCATAAAGTGAACTTGGTTACAACTTCTACATTAGATACTCAAAACAAATACATAACTCTTAGGAATTAAATTGATATCAACTGGTTGGGATAACAATTGACTTCTCGAGCTGTAATGCAGTGAAGTTGAATACTCATCCAATCTCTGGGGATTCAGATCTCCTGCGGGCTCTCTGGCTCCGTGCCAGGCTGTGCTGTGCGGCTTACGACGGTGCGCTGCTGATGCTAACCTCGGGTGGATCCTCTGGTTACTCCGCTTTCGACTCTTAGAACAGAGGAAAGTTCTGGCACTCGGACACACTGGCCGTTCCGTGGTTGTCCAGGCTGAGTCTCAGGATGGTCAGGAGGCGCGCTGCGAGAATGTCCTGCCCTTGGGAGCCTTCTGCTCCTGGGCCGTCCTGCTCTGGAATTCTCCTTTAGAATTCTCCTTAGAAAAGTCTTTAGAATTCCCCCTTTCAGAATAGTCTTGGAGCTCTGTGTTGCCTGCACCACAGAGATGAAGAGAGAGATGGGACCTCATTTGGGAAAGCACAGCAACACTTAATTCTGTCTTATTAACAAGCATTGCCACTACACTCTTACTAATAGTTTATGCTAACACCTAACTTTCTTAACACGAGAAGTACTACTGTCAGCCCCCCCAAAAAAGGATTTTTGGAGGGGGGGCAGTATTTCTTGTGTTGTGAACATGTGTACACAGCGCCCCCCCCGGGTTCCAGTTAATGCGTAATTACGCATCAATGAAAAACTGGAGGTTTAAAAACAGAGAATTAGTTTTCTGATAGTTTTCTGTGGAGGCTGTGAACGTTTTCACAAGTCGCGGTCTTCAAAGTGCATTTGGTTTGGAGGCTTTCTGTTTTTTTTTCACTCTAGGAGGTTTCGTGAAAAAGCTACAGGCGTGCCAGTTGTAATCGTTTTTATTTTTAAATACATTTTAGCAAAGTCTTTTGCGCTGCCTAAAAGGGGGGGGGTCTGCTCTCATTGACAGCTGACACTTTTCCATACACTCAAGTGAAAAATTTAAAATGCCAATGTAAACGTCGTATTTACAATTTGTTGATAATAGTAATAGTCAAGTATGATAGTTTACCCAGGGAGCTGTGTAAGCATGCGTAGGTAGCAAAAGATCAGTTAAACTGGGAATATGCGACACTGAAGATATTATTAATAACCTTTTAAATCTGAAGGGAGATCTAAAGGGATCCCCACACGATACTGGTTAATGCTTCTGGAGTGATTCAGAAGGAAAGACGGTGAGTATTCGTTGTTATTAAAAAATGACTTAGATTCGAACATGTTGTGATATTTAGAAAATATAAAAAAGTCAATTAATTGTCCATAATATTGCTATTTTATTTTCAAATAAATGTTTGTTAAAAGAAAATTCGTGGCGCTAGCTGGATATGAACAGCCGACCTCTCGCTTATAAGTCAGGAACTTAAACCATCACGCTACTCGCACAGTCACATGACAAGTGGTGAAACAGCCGTACACATATCAATAGGCATTGTATGTGTACAGTATATACTACTGTTTGTGTTGCAATACATGAATATAATTATATCGTTATTCATTTCTTTAGATACACGATTACATATTATATTCCCTATTAATCAAATTCTTAAAGTATGCTTGTTTACTCTGGTATTGAGCATATTTACAGAAAAGCTTAAAACTACCACTTTTCTCACAAAGTACTGTATACTGTATAAACGTCCAGTAACATGATCAGAGGGAGCAACGAGCAAGTAAAAACATTTCCGAAATAACCACGTTATTTCACGTTAGTTAAAGACTTTGATGCTTAAAATGTTGAGGGAGAAATGGAATACTGGTGTGTATTTTTTCTTTAAAGTACCGAGACCAGCCATAAACAGTTTACATAATAGTGTATGTTTATGTTCTGAAATTAATATCATTTATGACCTTCACATGCTCCTATTCTTTTTATGCTCAGCTACTAAAATTTCCCTTCAGTGGTAAAATTCCATATAAATATTCAATACTAAAGCAGATTAAAATGTGCACAGTAAAGACATTAAATGATTAAATCTTTCCACGACTGACCAACGCACCATGAGTGCCCTTGTCGGTCATTTTGGCCAACCAATCACGTACCAAAGTATGACGCGTTATGACCTGCGGTACGTGTTTATGCCGCTCACTTTGAATGGCTGCATCTGTATACAGTATACAGTATACACAGTAAGTACAAAATGGTACTGTATGGTTTTAAAACCACTACAGTAGATGTGTAAAATATATTTGTAAAATCAAAATGTAAGTTAAATTGTTTCCTGATTACTCCTTGCTGAAATTTGCATTATGACAAAATACATATTTTCCCAATGTGTACTGCAGATGTAGTTAAAATGTATGTGAAAATATTCCAAAATATCCACAAGTGATATATACAACTGCCACAGTTCTGTAGTTACATTGTTCCATATTAATATTCCAATATATCAAGTGGTATTAAATCAGTACAACTTTTTTTCAACAATAACATCAGCCAAGTACAGTGTTCTTGTTCGTATTTTTAGAAAAGGATAAAACATTATAACTTTTTGTGAAGTATATAAACTTTATAGAGTTAGAACAAGCACATCAAAACTTAAATTAAAATTACCACCTTAAGTAACAGAGTTAAAGACTTTTTATGAAGAATGTAGGATACTCACGTTTGTTTTTTTATGTTTAGCTACCACTACCATCTACCGTATCTACATGAGGTACACGTTACGTATGAGATCGTATGGTTTTAAACCCACTACAGTACAGTATGTGTGAGATAGATTTTTTCATAATCAAAATTTAAAATTAAATTGTTTTCTGATTACTCATTGCTGAAATTTGCCTTTCAAAATATAGATGTTCTCATTGTGGACGTAATCCTGAAAGAGGCACACCTTGCTTTTTAAATTAATTTAATATTTAACATACTGTAATACACAATTTGAAATTAATTATAGTCTAAACAGTACACAACTTAAATTCCATAATTGGAAAAAGATTGTGCTCAGCAGTGACTGGGGATTCAAAACCAGATGTTTTCTGGTGACAGCCCAGATGCTTCCACACACCATGTAAAGCATTCACTGCTCTAACTGACGGTTTTACAAAGTATTACAGTCTCACAACTGAGTATTTCTAAAAAAGGGAAGTGTACTGCAGTGCACACAGTGCAATGTGTTGCATTATCCTGCGTACATTCTGAATGGCTGGATCTGTACATCAAAATACACATCACAAAATATTTTATTGTAAATATCAAGTCCACAGTTTAATTTCACCATCCAATATAAACCATATGAAACTTACATAAGGTTTTCTAAGGAATCAATTAAGGTGTGGGTACAATAGAGCTTGACTAAATAATATGAATGACATTGACATGGCATGTTTTCATTATTACTGCTAAACTTAAATAATCACTGGTAAATATACACATGCAATATTTTTTTGTTGTAGGTACTCATGGATTCAAGTTCTTCAATGGCCAGTGAATGTTATGATGATCAGATAAAAATGAAAAGGATTGATGCAATCAAACAGATGTTTCATGCCTTTGCCAATAGGAGTATGGCTTATAATTTTCATCATGTTATCGGTCTTGTCAGATTTGGTGGGAAGATTGAAATACTTCACACGTTCACAGAGATTTTTGAAACCTTTAAGGTAAGAAAAAACTATTATATTGTTTCTTAAAACTAAGGATGGAGAAAGGTGGGTGAAGAAAAAAAAGAACAAACTTCCAAATATATAAAATCAGTGTCATTATGTTATATAAATTATCCAGCTCTACCAATATCTCCCAAAAACTTCCTTCTGGAGTCTTAACTGAAAGGCTAATTTTTCAATTTCATAAATTTCTGAAACAACAGATTGCCCAGAAACAGAACTGAAAAAGACTTCAATTTCAATTTTCTAAACATAATATATCTTGAATCAGAGAGCACACGTCTTCCCAATAAGATTGAATTCTTGGACATTACCAATATATATATATATCTTTAAGGGTCTGAAAACTTAATAGATTTCCCTTTGCCATCATTGTACAGGTTATTCCTCTATGAGCCCACTATTTAAATCTTTGATCAAGCATACCTGGTAAAAATTCTTACATTATATGCAAACGATCTCACCATACCCTGATCTGTTTTTCTAACTTTAATTTTTTAACAATTTTAAACCAAATTTTTAATGTACATGCAGTCAGAGAATCCAGTTGATCATATTAACATCTGGCTCAATTGCCAATAGCTTAGTATGGATAATGTTTTGATCTTGTCTCTATGTCTTTCCACTTGGCTGTCATGTTATCATCACACCAACAGACCAGAGACTTGAATTGTGCTGCATAATAATACTCTTTGGGATTGGGGACAGCAATCCCTCCTGTTTTTATTTAAGTGTAATATAGCACATCTTATTCTTGGTTTCTTCCCATTCCAAATGATGCAAGAAATTTGCTTAGCCCATTCAATAAATTGTTTGGTGGGATATCAACAGGTAAAGATTGAAATAAAAATAATAATCTTGGTACAATGTTGATCTTTATGTTTTCAGTTCTGAAAGTCTAGAGAAATTAAAGACCAGTGTTTCAAATCATCTTTAATTTTAGTAATGGTTGGATTATAATTTATTTTGTATAATTTTGCAGGGTCTTTCATTATCCATACCTTAAAATATAAACTTATAAATACCTTACTGCATTTAAGTTCCAGTTAAAGGTAAACCTTTGCTTAAGTTCTGTTGTTGGGGTATAACTGTTTGGGGTTTTGTGCATTTACTGGAACAATTATTAATTGTAGCAGTAAGTCACAAAATGATGGCTATTAGAAATACGACCTTGCAGAATAACTTCTGCAATGCACACACACGGATTCTAATACAAGAGAATACATTTATTTATACATAAAATGTGCATATAAACATACAGATGCAGCCATTCAAAATGTGCAGGGTACGCTGTGGTAAAACGTGGTGGGCATGTTGCATCACAGCACATCATAACGCGTTTTACTGTATAATACCGCAGTTATGATTATAGTATCCGGAATCATCTCCAGGTGGAGCTAATAAAGCTTAACCTCTCATGTACAGAATTTGAGCTGTCGCCAGAAAATCCATGGTTTCAAATCCTGGTCACTGCTAAAGGACAGTCTTTTTCCAATTAATAATTTAAGTTGTATTCTCTTTAGACTTTTAATAATTTTAAACTGTGTATTACAACATGTTAATCATTAAACATTAAAAAGTCGGTATATTTTATAAAAGCAAGATTGCTCAGTTGGACAAAAGTACACAACCTTCCACCTTTATCATAAATATTTTAATTATGCAGAAATATTTGCATCAAAGTCTTTACGCAAGATATTACTAATAGTATTAACAATGACTGACCTTGGACAGGCTGTAAGCTCAAAGTAGTACTGTGGTCCACTTTCTTTGTAACCGTCTTTGTAAACAAAAAGACTTTATTTTTTCATTGACAAAAAGTAAAACCACGATACACCACCATAAACAATATTAATTTAGGAATACAAACATATTCTGTAAACTGTATATGGCTGGTATTGGTAGTTGAAAGAAAAAATACACATTAGAATTCCACTTTCTTCCTTAACATTTTAAGCATCAAAGTCTTACATTTGGTTATTTTGGAAACGTTTTTACGTGCTCCTTCTCACCATATTAAGTTTATATACTTTGTGAAAAGATACGTTTTAACCTTTTCTGCCAATACGCTCGTTATCGGGGGAAAACAAAACCATACTTTTAGAATTTGATTAATAGAGAATATAATATGGAATCGCATATCTAAAGAAATTAATAACCATATAATTATATTCATGTACTGTAGTTCAAATAGTAGTATAATACACTTAACAATATATTGACATTATTTATATTTCTCTTCAGCCACAGCGCAAGGTGAATTTGCTACAATATAATAGAGAGTATAATAAAGAGTACCCATTACCCCGCGTGTTGCATTTATAAAATTAAAGTGCAGCTTACGCAAAGACTCTAGCAATGCTGTCCTGAGGCTAGGCCAGTGATATAACTTTAATATAAACAAGAACTAGTATCACATATGGAATCTAGTATATAATATATGCACACCCTGGAATTTTAACTTCACTGTGTGATAAAGAAATTTTAAAGACTACGTCTTAGCGTAGATAAAAAGCTTGGATTCTCATGTATCTGATATATTTTTCTGCTGTCTTTGTTGCGCTCTTGAGGACCCTTGTGATATTTTGAGCTCTCATTGAATGATAAGTGGCGCATAGTTTAAATCATTTTCATTCTAAGAAATTATGAACTGCTCGGTTAAAAGCAAGGGAGTTTTTATGTCTGTTATAGTAAAAGAAAATGCCTGACGAACTAGGGATTTGACAGTTTTTCAGTGCTTGTACAATCGATGGAAATGTTCAAATAAATGTGCTAAAGAAATAAACAAATAAAGTCATCTATTCCTTTATCATATTGGCTAGCTAATGTCCTGTCTTTGTTAGTTACTCAGATCAATGAAATGCTGTGGTGTTACTTTTTGTCAATGAAAAAATAAAATGACGTTTAAAATGACGGTTACAAAGAATGTGTACCAGTGTAATACTTTGAGTTTACAGCTTGTCCAAGGTCATTCATTATTAATACTTTTAGTAATATCTTCGGTAAAGGCTTTGATGCATAAAATATTTCTGCATAACTAAAATATTTATGATAAAGGTAGGTTGTGGGCTTTTGCCCAACTGAGCAATCTTGCTTTCATAAAATATACCAACTTTTTAATGACTGATGATTAACATGCTGTAATACACAGTTTAAATTTAAAAGTTCAAAGGCTGAACATGAGAGGTTAAGCTTTATTAGCTCATCCTGGCAGTTTTACAAGGTGATTCCGGATACTATTAACATAATCTAATTTGCATATGGTATGATGCCAAGTACACGTTGTACTGCGTCATAACACGTCATACTGCGTTTTGATGCAACACGTCCACCGCGTTTTTCCGCAGCGTACCCTGTTCGTTTTGAATGCCTGCATCAATATTTCAAGGCTACCTCCGAGTCTTCTTTGATACTGTAGATGCGAATGTTATTTCGTCGAGATCTCCTCTCAAGGTCGATTAGTTTGGCCTGCGTTGTTTTCTGTTGCATCAGTGCATGGAGCATTGGATCTCTCAAGTCGACATTTGCTATATTAAGCCCCTGAATACGTTTTTCCCTCTCTGTTATCCTAGTGCCTAGGTTCTATATTTCACTAATGGTGTTTTGTAGATTCTGGTTTGTTTCAAGTTTTAGATTGTTCAGCTCTGCTTTAATGTCTCTTTTGAATTAATCTTTGAACTCCTCTAGTTCAATCAAAGTTCATTTATCAGATGCACAACAATACAGCGTGCAGCAGTAGTTGCTGGCAATGAAATGTCTTTTCTGTGAGATCACCGGGGGGTAAAAATCACAAAAAGTTAAGTTACAAAATAAGGTTACATAATAATACATACTAGTGCAATAGAAATTGAATAAAATAAACTCAGAAAGAACTCAATATAAATAGAACTGCAATGTGTCCAGGGTGTATACAATACATTATGTCTAAGTAGTGTAGTATGGCAAGTACAATGAAAATTGTATGTCCATGTAGCCATTACTGGTGACTTGCTGAAGGAACTGCAGCTTGGCTATTTAGCAGTATTATTGCCTGGAGGTAGAAGCTGTTCCGTAATCTGTTAGTCTTTGACTGAATGCTTCCATACTGTTTACCGGATGAAAGAAAACAGTTTGTGACTGGGATGACTGGGGTCCTTGAGAATGGACCTGGACTTCTTAAGACATCTAGTTGAGTAGATGTCCTGGATGTTTGGTAGCTCACAGCTGGTAATGAGCTTCGCTGACTTCACCACCCTCCACAGTACTCTGCGATCCCGTGCGGAGCAGTTCCCGTACCAGGCAGTGATGCAGCCAGTCAGGATACTGAAGAGTTCCTTCTTCATCTCTGTTTTTAGATAATTTATTTCTTTCCTGATAGTGTTAATCACCCTTAAGGTTTCTCTCGCATTTTCAATGTTGAAAAGTTTTCTGTCTGGTGAGCAGTGGTCATCGTCATCTCTTCTCACTTTGGGAGATTCTTGTGGTTTTTGTTTAGATAGACCTTTTATAAACTTTGCCCCACTCATATTTGGATTGTAAAATTGGTTAGGCTTTTAACATTAAGTTGAATTTCTTGGGGTTTTACTCTCTATGACTGGGAGAAAAATAAATATCCTGTAATCATATAACTGTAAAAGAACAGCTCTGCACCCCAACCATATTACCTATCTAGGGAGATCTCGCAGGTTATTGTTGTGTTGGTATACGTCCCGCCCTCTGCCGACGCTGCCTCAGCGTGTGACGTCATACACACTGTTACAGCTGGACTACAGACTCGTCACCCACAAGCCATGTTCTTGATAACTGGCGATTTTAATCATGTTTCGCTCTCCTCTACTCTGCCTACTTTTAGTCAGTTTGTTAAATGCTCTACTAGAGATAACAAGACTTTGGACTTGCTTTATGCTAATGTCAAGAATGCCTACAGCTCCACATCACTCCCCCCACCTTGGCAGATCTGACCACAACCTTGTTCACCTCCTATCTCTGTACAAGCCTCTTGTACTACAGCAACCAGT